ACTTGCTCAGTCGAAGCGTAGTTCTGGACATCTGGATGGTTTGACTCCTTCAGAGCAAAGTTCCCTTTTTTCGGATGCTTTCCCTTTATTTCAATAAGGGGAGTGGAATAATTCCTACCCACGTTTCGCAAGTTCTGGAGTACGTTTAATGTAAAGTCACTTGGCGTAGGAGTCAGCTGTTGCAGTTACTCTGTTCTGAAGGGGGCCTTCGAACAGACTAACCGCAGACAGTTTCATCTGCTAGTACCTTTCCTGCTGCAGCATCCCTCACTGAACGGGCCAAAATCGTCTTTTTAAGAGTGATGGTTGCGCCACGTGATAGTCAACTGTGTAAATCAACACCCATGTTCCGTTGTTTACCTTTCCCATTCCTAATCACATTTATTTTCATCTCCTCCCAGGTAGTGAACGATATCACAGCAATTGACGAAATCAAACTGCCCATCTGTTCCAGAAGCAAACTCCGTGAATTGATGGACCAGTTCGTCTACAGGCGAAAGTATACATGACTTCCACCCTGTTCCTTGCCGCCATTTTACTCTGCAGATTTCCACTTGATTATTTGTTATTTTGCTACAACAATAAAGTTCCGATACATTTTCACTTCACACTGCGTGTCTAAGGATAAATTCCTGCTTGGTTCAAAAGTGGCTCATGCAAAAAACGGGTTCGCGTGCCATCGCAAGATCTTTTCTCTCGTTTCACACTTCTCTTGTGATTCCTTACAATTACCACATTGGTCCTGGTGGCTTGCTTCTATAATCCCACGCGTCCTGATATTCGGCCACTTTGTCTTCGAGTGATGGAAGACCTCAGTGGCCCAAAAATGGGATTCGCTGTCGCAAACAAACCCATCAAGCAGTTTTCCATTCATAACTTTGTGATTTTTGTGTCAAGTGCAGCTCCACTCTAAATTTTAAACATTTAGATGATTCTCAGTAGCACGCAGAGATTTCTCTGAACGCAGAAATGATTTGCGACCGGCGCATTAAACAGTGAAAGCCATTGAAAATGGGTGGAACTTCTTCCTCATGGGTTGTGGTTCTTGAAAATGACTGGGATGTACTGGACCTAACACTTCTTCGAAAGCCCTGGACACCCACGGGCAACGACCAGTTCTCCCAGTTTTATGCAATTATTTCACTGAGCAAGATGCTATCTACAGTGCAAAAGCCTGTGCTTTTTATCCTTGGCCACTGGGTTGTCGCGACAACTTGCCTCCAACCTGAGGGAGTGTCCGTGCCATCTGTCAATTCAAAGAAGCCTCTCCGTTTGGACACAAGCAAATGTTCTGATGTTGCAGTGCCACGCAGCTCTGGCAACACTCCTCTGTTGATAGCAAGTGAGAACTACAAGCAGCACCTTGGGGCGACGTTATTCTTCGATCTTTCTTGCGATAAACACGTGATTGGGGCGTTCCTAAAATCGTTGAGTTGGGTTTTCTGTCATGAGTCCAACTTTCTTGCATAATATTATTCCGGTCAGTTCATGAAACGTTGCATCCCCTTGGGCTGTTGTCGTCCGATTCTTTATATTACCAACTTTATCACCAAAAAAATATTGCGTGAACTCTACACCAGAAAAAAAACCATCTACCTCACTTACAGCTGCCGCCCAAATTAAAAGACTAGCCATAATCTGGTGAAATGAACCACAAGCCGTAAGCGGGCCACAGAAAAACCAAAGCGCAGTTATCTAAATATCTGTATAATCTTTCACCAAAATATTTCGTTTCCCATCCCCCGGGATTCTTCCATTCGCCCCACTTTAGTGTCACCCGCTAGCGATTTCAAGTTACTTGTCCATCTGCTTCACCAGATATTTCGTAGACAATCCACTGTAGATCTTGCTTATCTCAGGAGAAAACGCGGTCCGTTGCATCTATGTGAAATAAGCTGGTGACCTGAATGAACAAGCGGGGTTTGCTGAGATCCCCGTTCGTCTATCCTAGATGAAATTCGGACTACCTCAGAAACGGGACAAAATGCCTACACCGGAGTGCACCAAAATTAGCTCTGAATCTCTTCGCTTGTGCGAGATGCATTACCTTTATCCCATGCTCCAATCCAAGACCCTATCTTTTCAATTTTAGCGCCCTATGAAGGCTGGCAAAACTACTTATCCATGTCAACCTATTGCTAGATAACGATTATCAGTCACCTGCTTCGGGGAACGAAGACGACTTGGCCTCCCTCAAAGATTTCTGGTCATAATTTCCCCTTCAGCGCAGATGCTTCGGCCGAAAATCACGTACCCGTTCGCCTCTAGGTATTCGCACAATGCAAATGATTTCCCGAAAGGTACGACATTTCCAGGGTTGCCACTTTATGGCATAGAGTGTCTATCTACAAAGAATTATTATTCAAGTTATTTACACTGGTAATTTCTTTAGGGTCAACAAACACCACCGACTATGAATACGTTGCCCAAAGTTATAAGAAATCGCGATTGCGGAAAACGGTGACTCATATTGGACGGAATTTTCGGATAGTTTTTCGGCCGGAATGAACCACGGAACATTCTAGAATCTGCATGGCCCTCGCGGATGCAAATTTCTGGAGGTACCATTCTTGTAATTAATCCTTGTTCGATAATTGCTATCACGGGTTAAAATCGCGGAAACCGCATTCATTACTGCCGAAAAAACCCTGCAGGTCTGATGTTAAGTAGTAGGTTGTTCCATCATAACCTGTGAAATATGCCACGAAGACTTCAACGTCAATCTTAGGGGACAGGTGAACGAACCTAGCTGGCGCGCACGACTAAAATGCATTCAAGGATCCACGATTCGACCTCACCATCCATTTCTACTCCATCTCTACCGAGGAAATTTCCAAATTTATGAGTATATTTGTCCTGAATGGAAGCGTATGGCTATCATCGTCCGGATTGTTCACTGAGCTACTGAGGCCCTAATATAAGAGAAAGATACAAATTAGGTTATCGAAATATCGCTATGACACACAACTGACAAACTGGGAAGAGTACGTACCCTATAATGGGCGCACTTCACCGGCCACGGTGTCATGGGGGCTCGTTCAAACAACGCCATACTCAGCGGTTATTTCGCATGCCTACTTACTGCATCGCTCAAGAAATATGAGGCTCACATCAAATGGGGGTTTGTGGGGGTACGGATTGCACAAAAAGAGGACAATGTCATAAACAGTAGGGAATACCCAATGATATAGTAATAATGGGTTATTTCCCAACTTGCTGCGAACAATGGGCATGAGGTCCGATTAGTTCAAGGACAGTCACGTGACATGAACTAAAACTGGAAACCATTGCTGGCCATGAGTGACCTCGGGTGGTTGGGTAAATGGCCGGAGTCACCACGAGCAAAAGTGGAGATGGGGGTGGGATAGTTCAAATTGGGAGCACATAGCAAGTTTTGTCTCAAAAATGTGGTTTAATCTGAAAGCAAGCAGACTCACTGGTTGCACTGCTGTAGGGAAGACAGGTGCAGAGGAATAGGTTGGATGGGGGCAAGTTTCTAATACATAGGGCGACCCGAACTCCGTATACGGATTTGAACTTGCGCAGGAGGCAAGCCGAACTTGAAGCAGAAAAGCCAGGCTAACCAAATCTGAGCTGAAATTCATTGGGTACGGAAAGGCCCGTCCCATAGCCGGGGCCGGATGAGAACTGCTTGAAGTTGTGGCTGCAGGCTTGAGTGGGCGAGGGTTTGCGGTCGAGATTCTGAAGAAAGTAGTTGCGGGAGTGCCATCTAACTATGTATGATAGCGCCATGCCATCATCGCACTGACATGCTTCGGTTTATGGACAGCCCCGTAACGGCCATCTAGGGTCGGAGAAGGGATACGCATTTCCGTGTCATCTGGTTCTGGGTGAGACGAAGATTGACACAAGGAATCACGCAGATGTATGCTCACGGATAATTTCCCTTTGGTTGGAGGGCCGTGTGAGTGTAGACCGAGCACCAGCCAGTTTGAATGAACAGCAGTTCTAAGGGGCGTTTGGGCAACTGCAGTCGAGGAGTGGAGCTTGAGAAGAGGAGCGACGAGAAAGAAATAGAATGAAAGCACTAGTGCGTGGCGTGTGTTAGGAGGCATAAGATACAACGGCGTCGATGGAAAGAGCTGTTTGGAGCCGATGGCTTAGACTGAATCATCTTCGTCTCTTCCCTTTAGCTACGCTCTACAGCGTTAGTTGTAGCGGTCAAACATTTACTCATGGCAGTCGAGCGATTCCCCGTTGAAACCGAAAATACGGAAACGCACAATCTTCTTGGATGCACTTGCTGGTGTTCTTCGCTTCAGCCTAGGTCAACATCATAAGACGCTACGTTGCATACAAGGAAGCGACCACGCCCTTCCGTTTTCTGAGCGTCCGGGGGCTAAGAATTAAAGCTTCTGTATAGGCGCTTTTAAAACAGGTCCTACCACACAGCGGGCAAGTTTCACCGTCGCAACAGTTGACGTGATATGATTCGAGATCCGTTGCAGACCAGCTGTAACTGGTAGTAGTCGGCCAGTCACAGGGCACACAATAGCTCGTGTCTGTGTCCCGAGGCCGCTAGCTGGGTTGGGGTGCAGTATCCTCGACCGCCATCGGCAAGCTGTCATTTGGACGATGTGAGCCTTCATGCAGCGGGATTTGCCCTTGAAAAATCGAATGCTTAATTATAGTTGGATGCCTTTTGGGTTTCAGCAGCTGAAGCCCATGCACCACTCGGTTCTCTTGTTTGCGCAGGCGTCTAAAGCTATTTGTGTCGGTTTGGTAACAAGTGTAGGGGCACATATTTTTCCGGTTGGTTGTTTTCCAACAGCCACAATTGTTGGATAGAAGAGCAATTCAAGGAAAAATCTATGAAGAATAGCTCTTCTTGCCCGGAACCAACTGAACTCTAAATACAGAGAAAAATGGATGCAGGTAGCAGGGGTATGTGCATTCTACAGAAAAGGTGTCAACTTTCTGGAAGCACCTGGGGGGTTGCACTGAAAGTTTTAAGTTAGGTAACGTAAGTTGAACTCACCTAGTTTGTGCCAACACTACGATAGTTTAGACTTCGTGTTCGTGGCCCCCATTGACTCAAAACTAGTTAACATGCACACGTAGACATTCGACAGACGACGTTCAAACCGTAGCCGTCACCCTCAAAATTTCCCGTAGTAGGTCACGGAGATACGACATATACATTCAAAATTTCCCCATCAGCGACATACAACCAGTGGACATTAAGGGACAAATCGCGGATCCTTACGTTACACTATCTGATGACAATTCCGGAGTCTGTGAGCTCGTCTCATGCTAAAAGAAGCAGCACAGAATTACGTCGCAGCCAAAGCGACTGCTGCAGATGGCATTTGCTCCGTCAATTGTCCATTGCGAGAGACTTCATGGGATATTGCATACACATCATCCCCTTTAATAAGCCGAAAATCTTACGCATAGGACAATTGTTCGTTCTCCATAGAGACCTACATAACCGGACGCACGGTACCCATGCCGTCCGGTATCATGAAGGTATACATCTTATAAATACAGGCCAAATGTTACGTGCTTTAAAAAACTTACCCAAAAGGATTTCCAGCGTGCGCCTCGTCTAAATTTACTACATCTGGAAAGCGTACAAAACAACGCTATCTGCTGCCATCTGGAGAAAAATATGTGGATACAGTGACTGCAGCACAAATACCCAGCCGGTCTCCAGAAGTTTTTCCAGGACCGAAGGCATACCATCTGTCTCAACAAAACCAAACTATGTAGCACCCACTCAATAGAGCCCGTCGAGACTTCCTGCAGAGGTTGTATATATCCTGAGTGGTGAGGATCGTGCCAAATTCATCGGCCACAAACTGCCACGCCTCACGCGAGGGCGTTTCATACTTTAGCGGAGCCATGCAGGGGCCCAACTCCTCTTCGGTCAGCCGTCGATTCAGCGGAAGCCGGTTGTACAAAAACTGAGAAAGGCTTCCCTCGGTCTTTCTCAACAAATCCAAATATTTTACCAGCCGCTTTGGCCTGTACCACATTCGTTGGCGCCTCGTGCACACAAGAAGCCTTTCTGAAACAGCAAGGTAGTGGTCTGGTTGGTCGAAAAGTTACTTTACCGGGAATGTGTGGCAAAGAAATAAACAAAATAGCGCTATTTTCAATTTATTGTAGTAAGGAGGTCAAATGAAACAGGCTCACTAAATGTTGTTCCCTTTAGAATAGTTTGTCGTTGGCCCAGGTAAGCGAACAAGCAATAATCCAATCATGGTTGCCTAGGGGTCTCCTTCTGACTAGTTCTCACTTGAAAATTCCGAGGGTAGTCTGAAATGTTGTGGTACCAGTGTTAGCACATGAGAGCCGTGAATGACTGTTGTGGGCGCGAGCGAAATCAGAGGAGCGAGTTGAGTCACGTAACCCCGCGAAATTATACAAGAGCGCGGTTTTTGTAGTCTTCCGTATTCAATCAAAATCGGTCATGCAATTGACGAAATACGTAATGTTATAATGGA